CTAGCTTCAATATTCTCCTGTCAAGAAATAGACATATATTTAACAATACTTTTCAGGAGCAGTGGTCAATGTTCGCTGCTCAACACTCTTTGCTATGAAAATGGTGTTGTGGTTCCCACACCCTAATGGCAAGCATATTTATTCTCATTATTCATTAATTTGTTTTTGGCCGTTCATTCAAATTACGAGTGCATGCAAAAGTGTTCACCTGAACATCAGACAGGAGAGAGTCGGGTAACATCCTTGTCCAACTCTCCACACTTCACACAATCCGACAGTCGAGTGATTTCTTTGATCCTTGTCCACTCAGCATAAAATTTGAGCTTACAATACGCACACGTCGATCTTCAATTGAATTGATGCCGCAGCAGTGCAACGAAAGCGCCGGAAAGACCGCTTTGGCGCGTGATTAGAGCCACTCTTCGGCGCTGAGTCAACGCCACAGCCGTTCTGCGTCTCATAAGAGGCAGTGAGCAGCACCAGCGCTATCAATGTTGGTGTTCAGTGTTGGTAGCATATGGGCGCCAAATCAATGTAATTTTAACAGTTTCATATGTACGAATGTTTGATATATTTCATATAATAATAATAATACTCGTAATAATAATAATGATAATAGTATTAATAATGCGTAATAAGTACGGCACAAGCAAAATATTAAATTATAGAATTCATGGTCGCGTAAACTAATATTCGCATATCATATCAATCCATGTGTATGCAAGATGTAATAAATAAATTAGGTAAAAATATTTGAATGTGTTAGCCCAAACATAATTTCATGCATGCCTAACATACATCTTTATTAGTGAGCGTATTACTGCCTGTGAGCAAGCAGCACAGGGCTGCAATTCTACACTTAGAAACAGATTGGCATTATACCAGGACATTTCAATCCATGCGCCTTCGTTCTAATCTACTCGCTGTTAAATTTAAAGACCCCATGACAACGCATCTTGACTATATATAGGTTCAAGCATATAAAAATCTTTTTTTATCTTGTGAACTCCTTTCCTAAAACTCTGAAGATTCAAATATAAACTCTGATGATTAAAGAAAACACCTGTTTGAAGGTGATTCTTCTGGGAATTTTATTTGCATCGCAAATTCCACCTTTGATATTTGCAACGAAAAACTTTATTGCACTTCATCCACGCACTTTGAACCAGTATAAAATAATATCGCTAAATTAATTGTAACAGCAATAACGACGTGAATCGATTTATAAATTTTCTTGCTACGAATATTGCAGGACACATAGGTAAACTCGTAGCTGGTGCGTCGTTCATGACACTGATCGGCAGGCTCTCGATCAGCGTCAACATGATGAAATATCAAAAAATTTCATTTCCATCGATGAGCCGTCAAATCCAGTGCACTTTAAAAATAATTCTGTTTTGAAAATAATATTTTATTAAATATTCGATAACGTTTATTACTTCATATCAAAATTATGTAATTTAAAAAAGTACAGCAAATCAAGTCACAATCTTATAATCAAATGATGAATCTTGAGGAAAAAATGGAGAACTCACTTTGCATACAATCTTAGAACATTCTTCCTTGTGGAGAGACTCGTCAAAGAGATTTAAATTTTAATAAAGTGCTTGATTACTGTCACTCGCCTGCTTAAATCTAAGATTAAACTGAAATTGTAAAGCAAAGGATATAATACAAATATTCCCTAAAAGGAATTGTTCCCTACGCTGGAGTAAAAAATACGCAGCTTCGTACAGTTGGCACACAAAAGACAGTGAGAGCAGCGCCTCGCAGCTTCGTACAGTTGGTACACAAAATACGGTGAGAGCAGCGCCTCGCAGCTTCGTACAGTTGGCTTACAAAATACGGTAAGAGCAGCGCCTTGCAGCTTCGTACAGTTGGCACACAAAATACGGTGAGAGCAGTGCCATGCAGCTTCGTACAGTTGGCACACAAAATACGGTGAGAGCAGCGCTTTGCAGCTTCGTACAGTTGGCACACAAAATACGGTGAGAGCAGCGCCTTGCAGCTTCGTACAGTTGACACTCAAAAGACGTTGGGCGCCTTTGTAGAAATCGCCGCCCGCTTGCTTGTTACCTAACCTTCAGTTAAGCTAATGATTTATTTGTTTGTTTCTTTTTGTTATGCCAATGAGAACCACTTCTGTTGAACGCTTCAGAAAATACTAATACCATAACAAGACTCATTTGTCTCAGCTAGGTTCCGCTAATCGACCACATGCATACATTCTACAAAATATTGATATCACATTAGTCTCAATAATTTGTTGGCACTAGTGATGTGCAGTAATTGATCAAGTATTAGATTGTCATTGCAGATTTTTGAATCATAATACTTCAATCATGAACGCAAAACTCAATGGATCTAAGATATGGGTATTTTCCATCATCTACGCAGGTTGTCCAATTTTTTTTTTTTCGAACATCATTGACCGAATTCATTGACATGAATTTTGTCGTTAACAACAGATTATAAATCTTCAACTCCACTCCACTTTCAAACTCTGCTCCGCATTCCCTCCTGTAATGCACCACCGGCCTCAGCCTTGATCTGGTATCGACGAAATGGTAAAGTTGTTAGAATAGAAATGTCGGCAGTGAAGAAATAGAAATAGGCAGTGAAGAAATGTGAACTTTCGTACTAATCTCACGCCTCTGTTGTAGTAGCCGAGGCTGAATCCATAAAATAAGCCAAAACCTTTCCGGTTGTTGAGCTTCATATAGTTATTGAGATCATGTAATTGCTCGAATGAAAAATTGCGAATAAAATTCAAAACAAATGTAATGTCAAGATATTCACCAAATCTTTATTTAACTAAAACCTTTCGGAGAGCAGCTCTATCATTTCAAATTTGTGAGCACAATTATAGTTAATGATAGAACAAGCTTACCGTGTAAATATAAGAAATTGACGCTTGAAAATTTACAGTAAAAAAATCACAGCAAAAAACACATATTTAAAATATTAGGCTGGTAAAACCAATGGACGTATTTCAACAGTAGGTTATTGTCTTAAATAGCACATAGACGCAAAGATTTTTTTATTGGGAAACATTGCAAGCAGAAGCTACGTGAACTAACGACTGCATGCATTTGAAATGTTTCCAATATAAAAGCATTCGTTGCTTTTAATTTATTTCTATCTTTCTTTTCTCAACAAACACTAATTTTCCTAGGCACGAAATACTGTGGTTACTATGGACGGCAAACTCCACCGAAGATGTTATAATAAAAACTCAGTAAGTTTAAATATTAGGAGAAAACAATTGCTACTTCAGGAATTTACAGACAATATCAATATATGTTTTGTAATAATTTATAGGTATAAATTAAATCTGCGGTTTTTACAGTGCGAGTTGACATCCGCTGAGTAGGCAGCGATCGCAGCTGAAGGTCTCCATTTGAAAATTTGGGGTGGATAGCTAGAGGTCAGCATAGCTCAAGTCCACAGTGCGATTCATATACCTTCCCGAGCGTAAAGCAGCCGGGCATCTTCACGGCTTTTGACACAAAGCGCCCACCACAACAGCGCAGTTCAGCCACAGGCCGGAGCGCATACAGGCCGGAGCACAACTGGCCAGAGCGCAGCATGCAGGCCCTACCGCAACAGCTACTCCTAACGTAACTTAACCTAACCTAACCTAACCTGCGCCACCTGTTGCGGTAGGGCCTGTTGCGCTCCGGCCAGTTGGGCTCCGGCGCTGTGAAGCAGTGGCTGTATTGTGCACAGCGGATATACTGTTAGCCAGAGTTACCCACAGCTCATTGATCTGAGGCTATGTGTAGATGTTGCATGCTGATGGTTGGCGTTAGGCCCAGGGCCTGTTTACGAGTCAATTTTGTTACCCACGGCTGCGCTCCCAAAATTTGTTCTTCCCAATTTTTCGCTCTGAATTTTACGCTCATTTTTTCATTCAGCGCTGAAAGACGTAAAAATTTTTACGCTCTTCGCAATTTTACGTCCTTCAGCACTGAATGAACGCTAGAAAACAATATACATTAATATATTGATAATTAATAATCGAATAGCATGTTGGTTGCAGAAGAAAATCACGAAACAGCGAACATTGACTTGTGCCTTCGCGTAGTAATCGGCATGAATTATTATTATTAAACGCAGGAATTTATCGAAATAAGTTCCCAATATTTTCATTTCTTTTCTATTTGAGATGCTTTCATCATGAGTGTAGTTTAAATTTATATTCATTTTGTATTGTAAAGTTTGAAAATTAATTTTGACAAGTTCCAGGCAAGTGAAATTATTATACATAGTCATATAGATTTCCTTAATTTCAGTTTATTCAAAAATATTTGTTGAAGTTATATACACATTGTGTTACATATTTTTAGATGTCAGGTGCAGTGACGTGCTTGTAAGTTGGTAAGCGATTGTAGTAAGCGACAACCAATTGCATCACCGATAACTTTTAGTGTTAGGTCATCAGTAAAGTTCAATGATGTTCTGTTGATTTTTGTTTACTCATTTACATTTTAAATTACACGTCTCTCCATTTTACAATCTCACACACGTTCCTATTTTACCTAAGAGGCTATATGTATCATGACTTGAACGGTGAAATCAATTGAAATTCTTTACATGCAGGACATTGCTCTGTTGAGCTATATTCGCTTGTCAAGGTAAAGGGCAGATACTCGAGCATTCTGCTTTGTGCTGGGTGAACTAAGGCAAGTTCAATAACATCAATTAAAAAAGTGAAAAATTCGCCAGCATTTGTCAATGGGATCTCTGTATAGTCGTTCACTTTTCAGAATCGTTTGATGACATATTTTCAGATATACCAGAAATGGCATAAAAGAAAAGCTCAGAAAGCTGAACTTCACAGATTCCTTAGATCACCTAGAAATCGATCGACTAGAAATCGATCGCCTAGAAATCGATCGCACAGATCACGATTGTAAAATGAAAACCAAGGACGACTCGACGTTCGGTCGACGCAGGGCAGGCAGTCAGCGCGTGTCGCTGCAGAGGCGACGGTTGCGATGACGTGGCTGGGATATGCATTGCTGGTGGTGCTGTCCCTGCCTGCCTGCTACAGCCAAGGTAAAATAGCCCGTTATATGTGCATGTTACGCATGCTTTTTTGTTGATATTTAAATTGAATTTAAATTCATTAAAATGCCGCATTACCGAAAAATTAATATTGAATAGTTTTAAAATTGAATCTTTTACTAATGACCATAAAACTCTGTCGAGTTCAACAATTTATAATAAGTTTGCACGTAATGCATTATTTTTAAGCGACACAAAGTTATTATGAAACATAATGTTTCACATAATGTCACAATATAACACATTTAAAATATGTAAACTGTGTTATAACTGTGTTTAATTAACAAAGTTGTAAACACTGTGTGTGTAAATATGTTGATGTGTTAGAGTGCTGCTGGCGTATTCTTTTTAATATGATACATTCCATCATTGGGAAGTAATTTTAAATTGCTTCTTCACCGATTATCACTCGTAAATTTTCAAATATAATGAGAATAAATAGATTCCTTGATAAAGTTACCTTATGACTATGAGTTATGACAAAACTATGTGTTCGAGTGGAAGGGAGTAAGTAGAAAAAATAAATTATATGATTAATTGATAACTAGAGAAGTCACTACATAAATAGAAAGAACATTTTCCAACATTATATCAAAAATTACATTCGGAGGAAAATATCATTCTAATATCATCCAAAATACCGGACAGTAACACGGGTTGGATTTGAGTCTCTAGATCGAACCTTCTTGCGAAGACTTTTGACTTGAAACATTTCTTCTACCTTATGACTCTTCGGCCATGGTGTTTCATTGCTCAATGTTCAGCATAGGATACTAAACGGTAGTTTTTCACGTTCATCGTTCAACAATTCGTCAGACAGTAATTCCTTCCTACAAAATACTGAAATTTATTTATTAAAGCGCTAAAATTCTTACGTGATCCTTTAAATGAGGGCTAAATGGAGTATCGCATAAAAATTTAATCATAAACAGGAACTGAGTTTGGCGTATTTCTTGGGGAAGGACCAAGCAGCATTTGTTACGACAGCTCCACGCCGCCATATTTGAAATCTTTCTCGTTCTGCACGTTCATCAAAATCATCGTCCCGACGGCCAACTCGGAGGTGCTGCGATACTCGCCGCCAGAGGGCACCGTATTCACGTTCGGTATGTTTATGCATGCTTGAAACTAATATTAGTTCTACTACGGGTGTATGTGTGTTGCATCGAATCATCACGTCATACCCTGACTTTAGCTCGAATTCTAATACAACTAATGCGTGTAAATTAACAAATCAATAATTACAGGTGAAGTCTCACAAAGGTTGTGAAAGTTTCAACAGACAGAATAATTTTTTTCGATACGCCAAAAATAAGATAATAAACGTCAATTTCCCCCATCTGTCCTGTATTGACTGAAATTCGAATGATATGGATGATTCTAATGAAAAGTTTATTTTAACAGTATTTATAAGCAATAACGACAGGACCTCCATGTGTACGTGCTCCGACCTTAACGTTTCTATTTCGAAGCAAGATGATAGCAGCGAGAGGCCACATCTCCATGATACTTTCATAAATTGTATAAATGAATAAACGCGAAATATTTCGCGGCAAATTTTTCTTCCACAAATGCACGGAGCAAACCAAACTGTAATTTAGAACAAAAGTAGATGGGAAACTAATATAAACAATATAAGTTTCCATAATTTATTCTCAGCCATGTGCCTTGACAGGCACCTCCTACTTCGGAGTGTGGGTGATGATCCAAAGCAGGCGTCAGGCGCGTGATGGTTCCAACTTCACCAGCAACGACCTGCACTCTTTTGAAGTGTCGCTACCCACCAATAAATGGCGCGGCCTCTGCATCACCTTCGACATCCTCAACGGAGAGGTGATAAATGAATCACACAAATGGAAATTAGTATGACACATTTACACGGTGATTCCTTGATGATATTTGCCAATTAAAATTATATGTTCGCATTGGAATAGAATAGTAATAATTGGCTTTTTTGACCCATGCATGAAAAGAATTATATCTCTTTCACAGACATTCACAATTAGGAATGAATTGCACTGAAATTACATGCCAGTATCTGTTGAACAGTCGCTTTCGCTGAGCCCGTGCCTTTCATGATCGTTTAATCATTTACGATTATTATTTAACAAGGCTCACTCTTTATTCTTGTTTTTCTTTGTGAAAAATATAATCAACATACGCAGGCACGAATGCAAGTAACGAACTATATAAAAAATCGATAAATCAAGGTCTGGTTCCATGATAATTGTTGTTGACTAAGTGATCAGTTTTTTTCTGACTGAAAAATTAGTTTGTAGTTGAGATAACTTTACTTGATATCGCAACTGTTTTTATTCCTAATAGTCTCGCTGCTTCATCGACGGCAAAGAAGAAAAAGTGTCTTCAGTAAAAACTCAAAAAATAATCGAGACCAAAATTGAAGAGCGCAAGAAACGAGACGTGCATGGACTTGGTTTTAATTATTTGGCGCAGGGTGAACATAATTCATCATCTGGAGCACCGATAGGCCGGGTAAAGCGGCAAGCTAAAAAGCCAATATGCGCAGGATCTGCAGAATTCGTCGGGGAACTTGCCAGTTTTCAGTTATGGAACAACGCCCTGCTCGACACCGACGCCATGCGCAAGTCCAACTGCAACCGAGCAAAGCTTGCCAGCGCTGGAAATGTTATGAACATGAACAGTGAGTGGAGGTTCTACGGAAACTCGACTAAGCGGAGTTATGAGAGATCTACTCTCTGCAGTAATCTCGACACTGCACTGATCATCAAGCCAGGCGGCTCGTTTTCCGAAGCAAATGAATATTGTATCGGCATTGGTGGCCATCTGTCGGAGCCAGCAGTGATAGATCAGAAGTTACTTTCACTGTCGATCAGTGTCAACAATTCCTGTGTAGCTTGGGACAACACAATCTCATGGTTAACGCACACTCTAACTGATCCTAACATCGAAACAAAGTTCTGCGAAGCCCTGGATAAAGAAGGAAAAATTACCTTCATAACTTGTGTCCGACGACTGACCTGTACTCTTTGCATCGCACCTACGGAACGCTTCACTCTCTATGGACACTCCGGAGAATACTTCGATTACGTTTACTACCTGCACGCTGGGGAGAATGGGGACCCTCGATGGCAAGGAGTTCGTAAGTCAGTAATAAGTCGAGTTAATGATTTGTGGACTTTGAGTTCAAGCGAGCACACAGTCAAACTATTCGCAAACGCTGCATCACTGCCAATCGGACGCACTGTCTGGACTTGGAGCGACAAACTGCCAGGTCAGACAGACGAAATTCTGCTGGCATTCACAGTTTGTCGCACATCAGAGTTCAGTTGTGATGACGGTCAGTGTATCCCGATACAGAAGCGCTGTGACGATATTCTAAATTGCCGGGACTCATCGGACGAGAAAAGCTGTTCAGTTATCAAAACTCCTAAGAACTATGACGCAGTCTACATTCCACCCTTGAGGACAGGCGAGGCCTCACCAGCAGCTTTGGGATATCACGTGGACGTGTACAACCTGGGAAGAGTCACAACAGATGAAGGAAGGGCGAAGATTGATATGGGACTCACAATGACATGGTTTGACCCAAGAATCGACTTTAGTAATTTGAAGCCTATCCAGAAAAACTATTTCCAGTGCCCGATAGTTTGGCTTCCGCGGGTGCGAGCCATAACAGGATATGGCGACGGGTCTGTCTTGGATATCAACACATACGAGAATTTCTGTTACGTTTATTCCGACGAACAGGACGAAATTAGGGCCCTGCAAGATCCACTTATGGGTGAGATAAAAATTCAATAACAAGAATTTTGAGTGCGGAATTATTAAAGCTTGGATAAAAAAAGCTCTGTCCAAACATATTTAAGCTGTTTCTGCAGCTTGAGGCCACTATGCCTCTAGATTCACTAGATTAAATTTGTATTAAGAAACACCATTCTTTATTTATGACGGCTAATCAAGTCATATATGATTACATTTGTATACTATTAAAAGGTTCTTCACTGCCTCTGGAGTTTATGTTAATTGAATTTATTCCTCTTTCACATGCAGGCTACATGTCACCTGGAAACAAATACTCTATCAAATATTACGTCGGGATGCTGGCCGACCTTCCTTGTGAATTTGACTTCGTTCGGTACCCATTTGACGCGCAGACCTGTAACGTTTCGATCATGATCATGAATGCTCAGAATGAAAGGTACTTCAACAAGAGTACCCAGGGCGTCGTTGTGCCTTACCTCAATCAGGTAACGGTCGTGCAATTAAAGATAAGAATTAAGATGCAGTTATGTTTCACGTAACTTCTGGAGCACAACAGTGAAATAATACCAATTATGAACAGATGCTCACATTTCAATTCGTAGTAAATATGGCAGTGCATTATTTATGCATTATTTAGTAGTGCGTAGCAATGCATTATTTATTATTTAATGCGTAGTATGTATTGTTTATGACACGAGCAATTTAATTTTGCATTCCAGTGATAAAAACATTAACTTTGTTTCAACAGTTCTGTGCTGCAGGCGCATTAAAAAGAAACCTTTTCGTATGAAATTATGTCACTGAATTGTAATGACATTTTTACAATCTTTCGAGCAGAAAGTTATCTTGCTGGAATACCTACTGCTGAACATCACAACCGAAGTGAGCTACAACCTACGGGGCAGTGACAACAACACATTCTTCGTTATAACTCTTCACTTCAGACGCCTCTATGGATACCACATCATGAACAGCTTCTTCCCAAGTCTTCTCATGGCACTTGTTTCCTACTCTACTTTTTACTTTCAGGTTAATGTAATTAAGGATCAATCAAGCTAGGGTAACACTTGAAAATTACACGAATTTTGCCTCAGAGTTTCTTCAACCTATCCATGCAGGAGGTCTCTATCAGCACCCGAAATTTTCGGTTGAGCACCATGGCGATTTTTTTCAATCTTGCATCTTAATTATGAGGCGACGATTGCACCCATGTTCTAAATAAATTATTCTAAACGCGTTCAAAAACAGACTCTAGACAAGGCCATGCAGAAGCATATGTTTATTCTTAAAATGCCTCGTATCCTACGGAACAACTGAAATCTAGAAGCGATTTTAAATCTACCGTCTGGTGAAAAGATCTGGTCAAAAGTCCAGTCTAATCAAGAAAAGTACACGAATCGGCGACAGGCCAATCCAGGCCTATTCTTCAATGCCGATGATACTATACTATAAATCGGTCGCTACAGTAGCAGTGTGTACTCAATTTACATGAAAAAACATATAGTAAACTTAGTGGGTGTGTTAATTAGCTATGGCACCATGTTAGCCAAAGAGCAGCATCTTTGAGAGCTTCTGTCGATTTGTGAAGTTAATGCTAAAAACTGCTACCGATGAAGGCGGCATCAATGCAGCTCTTTAGAAGTTAACAGAAAACGGAATTCATTTTCGTGTTAGTAGCTAATAACTCCCGTATAGCTAACATTTCCCACGACACAAGCTGAAGATGAATAAAAATTCCGAACTTTTTGCCCAATTTGTATTTGTGTCTAATTAATATGCAGCCACACACCTGTCATATTGTAGATCCAAGACTAGATATTTTTAGAATGTTACCTGCATTGCACGAGCAAGAAATAGTTCTAGTTTCTCATTAAAAGTAACTTTGAGCGGGAAACATTGATATTCTACTTGATATAATCAAACGGACACTCCGATTTTTCCAGTGACCTGGTTCGGTCTGTGCTGAAGAACACTCAAACTAAACATGTGCTTATTTAATGCCGGTAGATTTATTTTTGAAGTCTGACTTAACATGAGCTTAGGTAACGCCGCTAAATATATTTTTGAAGTCTGAAAATCCGCCCACAGCTCGATGACTTCACGAACCGCATCATGGTGTCGCTGACCGCTCAGCTGGTGTTGGCAGCCCTGTTTACCTCCACCACCGCCTCATCTGTCAAAACACCTTATCTGAAAATGATCGACGTGTGGTACGCTTGCATCATTGCATATTGTTTCCTCATCGTCATAGCTCAGGTGAGACTTATTCATACGAAATTATTTTCAAATCAAGTTTCTGGCAGCTGTCTAACTCTAGCACATTTTCAATGAATGATTGGTCGTCAGAGGCAAGACTTATTATCGTTCGTGCTAGTCTTGAGTTGAGTAATTTATTTCCGTCTTCACAGGTCATTGTGGACGCAGTACGTAACAAAGTAGAGTCTGATCACCAAAACGCTGCAGCGGAAGCGCAAAAATCAAAACAGGAGTCAACGGTAGTGAATATTCCGGCTGCTAAGAAGACCATAGCACAGCAGTTGACTGTGGAGCTCCGCCTCGACTTCGTGGAAAGGGTGAACAAAGTCCTTAAAGGCTTGAGCTTAGGCCTGCTAGTATTTTTTGTGTTTGTCTACAGCGTTATTGCTTCCGGCTATTACTAGAAACAAGTTCAAATTACGTAAAGAAGCAGATGTCTGCTGAACATTTAGATTCTTTAACTACGTTTTGCAAGCCACCGACTTCGTACTAGAACGGAAATGGCGAGAACTTTACGGTTGACGACTTGGACCTCATCAAGGATTAAACTTCTTACCCTGCCCCGGAACGTCACATGGCCGTCAAATACTTCCAAAAAGCACAATAGAACACCTACACAACCTGACGCATTTCAATAGATTCCTTGATACTTGACCACTCGCCGAGTTCTCCCAGAATGTTCGCTAAGAATTGTGAGTCTCGGACCCTCAACTTGCTGCACGAATCTTGATATTAACCACACGGCCAACCTCGAGGTCTATTTATACCATTATTTACTTATTCATTTACTCAAACGCAAACGAATGTTGTGCGTGGACAAAGAAGTTTCTGTCAACATCACTTCAATTTTAAAATATCGAACATATATGATTCATCAAGACACAAGTCTAATAAAATTGTGAACCAGCTTCCACTTCTTTCAACCCAACCTACAATATTATTGCACGCGTTCGTTCAGAAGCAGCCATAAGGAAAAATAAAGTAGTCATGTGTATAGATATTTTCAAACATCAGTCTGCAATAGGATAAATATTTCAAAGCAAGAAAGGATACCTAGCACATTTTGAATAAATATTATTTACAAAGCGGTTACACTTCGCATTGAGAAGCAACTAATTTTTAAATAAAGCGTTTAAACTTTAATCCATAAATATTACACAGGTTCGGCAATCAATGCGTTTTTATTTTTGATCTATTTTGTTGATTTTAACTAAGGATTATTCCTGGAATAAGCTAGTAAAGATAACGACAAATATTCATTCAATTTTAAATTAAACGAGAGTACAAGCAAATATTTTTCAAAACCCACATGGGAGAACTTCAATGTTTGTGCTCAGATCGGATGACAGCGGTCATACGCCCGTCAAGAGGATAAAGTTTTTTAAGATGAATCTATAAGCCAACTATGACATATACTAAACTATTTTGGAATGTTTCTCAAGAGAACAACTGTTCACTCTTGGTCAGTTCCAGGAACCATCATTGCTCCACAAACTAATGTTCCAAGTATGAACTACGAGTACCAGCGGACATCAACCAGCTTTAAGATAAAAGGAAAACAATGTTGAGTACATGACTTCTGACTCCGGCGGCATAAGCCATTATTAAACCTAAGGATAAAATACACCAGAAACTGGGAACTATTAACACGTTATTCGGCACAAAATATTTCGCCACCCCGACTTCGGTAGGCCACCAACGCCCAGAAGACACCGTCGTGACGGGAATGATCACTAGACCGGAACAGCCAGATTATACGAGTTAATACTTTACAAAATAGGAATATAATTGTCGATTTTAGCGCGATGTTTCTGGGCAATGCACTCTGAGATCCAGACGATGTTGCGGCACTCCTGCTCCTTGAGACGCAGGTACGAGTAGAACACGCCGCAGTGGAACTGGTGCATGAAGGCGTTCACGTTGAGCTTCACTTCATACTCGAAGAACTTGTCCTCCAGGGTCTTCTCCCCGGGGTTGTTGCCTGCGCCTTCAAACAGGGCGCGGTATTCCTGCCGCAATATAATTATTAGAAACATGCAAGAAATTGGGCATTAATTAACGCTTTCCAGCGTTCAGCACATCAAGTCCCTCAAGTTTAAATAAAACGCTGAATTATCCAACAATAAATATCATTTTTTCTTCGATATGAGGTGCAGAATCCTGTTCTTATATCACAGGAAAAAATTATTTCAAAGAATTACCGCGTAGAACTCGGCGACTTGCTTGACGTTCTCAGGATCATCGGCGCGGGCGAGGGCGGCCAGGCCGTCGGGGTAGAGGCGCCCGCAGGTGGGGTACAGCTTAGCGCGGTCCTCCTTCGTCAGCTCCGTGCCAAAGCTGTTCACGGTGATGATGAAGGCGCGCCGGTCAGCCTCGAACTGAAAATAATAATAATGCAAATCAAGACTAAAATAAATAATTTTAGTCTGGTGTTCGAGATAAGGAGAATGCACTCGATCAAGGGACGCTGGTGGAACAGGAAAGAAGTGACAACACTCATTTTTTTGCAATTTGCATGGAAAACAAGACGATTTAATTTTAAAATAGTCCGGGGTAGTATTCACAATTTAATTGGTTTTCTAATAAATGCCGTGAGTATAAATACTAGTATAATAAAGGTAAATATATTTGAGAGACGTTTAACCGTATTTACCTATATGCTGAAGCGTATTTGTTTCTATTGAAGCATATTTATACGCTTCAACAGAGCGGAAATATAAACTAGGATTGGGAAATGTATGTTTGCTATCAATTAGAATTGTAAGTAAGAAGCCAGCTTTCTCATGACTGAATTTCAGTAGCACGAGCGCCAGACGGATAACTAATTTCCATCAAAAAATTTTTTTAAGATATTCCACCTCTTATTATTTAATCCAGGTTTTCTCAAATCAAATTGATGGACCCAGTGGACCCTGAAAATTCGACTCTACATAAAATTGATTAGTACTAAAACGGAAGTTCTAGGTTGACGAGCAGACCAATCTGACGTTAAATGAAGCTCGTTGTAGTCTCGTTGCTTAATAACACATGACTGCTGCTATCTAATATCCACACTTCCTCAAACATCATAGGTACCCGTTTTCATTCGAGTTCATTAGTAAATGAGTGTCTCACCGCAAGGATGGGGCACATGACCTCAGCCGTAGGGCCCCCCAGATTCTTGCAGTAGTTGTAGAAGCTCTCGAGGTAGGCCTTGTACAGCGTGTTGCGGATGATCTCGATGTTCAGCTCGTCCAAGTCCTGCTCGCTCACGCACTCGCCAAAGAACTCAGCTGCTCACACAATGCAAACCTTTTACACTTCCAATAAAACTTAGCAAGGAGTTTGATACGATATTACTAGGGGAAAATACCAACATTGCGGGATTTTCCTACACATAAAAATTCAAATGTTTTCGTCGGCTATTGCAAATGATGGACATTTCAACACCGAAATAATAAAATAATAATTATTCAGGGAAGTTAATTTTTAAGGAGAGGTCAATAATGGTCTGAAAAAATTATTTACAAACAAGGAAATTATTATTAGCTGTTGCAAACCCAACGAGTCGCCATCACCTGCCTACATGGAAGGAGAGTGCCTCTTTGGAGCACTTTTTAAGAATGCTAGATTATAAAGTTCACAAGATACCCTAAATTTATTCCCAAAAACAATAACTGTTTATCAATGTTCTGGTTACTGGTAAGATTATAACGTTTAAAATTGTTGATATATAGTGCAGTCACATAAAAAATACTTCCCAGATTTTTCTTTGCCACGTTGTAAAGAATGAATAGTACAACTTTGAAATTTTTACCAGGACTTGAGGCACATGAGCCTACGAATACTGCCTATGCTCAAAAAGTAAGACTTTGATAGCTGCTCATTTGTACACCTAGCAAGCAAAATGATGCAAAACTTACAACAGCCAACATTTTATAAATTATTTTGAAGAAGCTACAGCACGCAAATTGGGTTTATACAGAGTTGGAAGCTGAAAATTATAATAAATATACAGTGTAAATATCTGTACGTAACATAGAAGTTATTTCACACATTTGTGATATTCATTTCATGAAAGATTACTGAAGTGACAAACATTGACCGGAAATGGATTAGAAATCACAAAAGGAAAAGCAAGTTATAGGATCTAGCAATGTTTAAAAAATTATACATTTGGTAGTTTGCTAAAACCAAAATTGGAGTGATTTAAAAGAGGACAGCACTAGTACCTATGTTAGCTAAATAATATATACACTGCTTACTTAGCGATACATGGCACAAATATGAAGGAATATCAGCAATTTCAATGAAATTACAGGTCATTATAGTAAGTATGGAGAGCACGTAGCAGAAACAGGACTCTTATTTCCTTTTTTTTTCCTACCTTGAATTGGGCTGCAATATTCCAACTGAAAATTGATTAAAGAAATAAATATATTTACCAGAGAGAATAAAAAGAAACCCAGAGGAAGCATTAGCAGAGTTGGAGACTATCAATTGAACCGCTCTCTACTTTTCTACCTTGTAAATATAGACTCAACTTCGTCAGGACACGAATGAATTCCATGAACTATTTGACAAAGGACATTCACCGAAGTTGGTCAGTAGGTCCTGCGTTGATAGCAGCCAAACTCACCCAATGGAGTGTCAACAAGCACAGCGTTGTAGAGCTCAACAGAGGTGTTGGCTATGTTGATTGCAGCCAAACTCACCCAATGGAGTGTCCACAAGCACAGCGTTGTAGAGCTCAACAGAGGTGTTGGCTACGTTGATAGCCTCAATCTGGTCAAAGGTGCCCAGTGGATGGCACTTGGGCATTAGCTCAGAGATGGGTCGCTGGTGCAGAGCTCCGGTGATCAGCAGCACAATGTTGTCAATCATGTAACTGTGAAAATTTTACACATGAGCTGGATGTCAAAATAAGTTAAAGAGGTTAAATTGATTTCAAACATGGAATAAATCAATGTCATTATGCAAAACTTGTAGCAAATTTCTGGCACGTTAAGTTTAAAATTATAGATTGCTATCAAGCCAAGTCTATATTAGAATGCAAGCACCTGTTACAACCATGGTATAGTAAAAAGAAATTTTGACAAAATTTAATACTCTTGACTATACTAGGAAACAAATGCAGTTATAGCAGACCCATAAGTGATGTAGTCCATGAAGGTGGCAAGAGGCTCAACAGCATGGTTCCTCATGTGCTGAAACTCAATTACAAGCTTCTCCCTCAGCTTGTCATCAATTACTGAGACTTGCAGGGGTGAAGCTTCATTGGCCAAAAAACTTCCATAGTCAGTACTCTGCAGGTGCAGCTTCAGGTCTGTGTAAAAAGTTAGAGTACCATGAAGCTATTCAAATTCAAGTATTAGAGGAAAAAATATTTTTCACTTTTTCTACCAAGTAAAACACACAATCATGATTATATATCGGCAAAAAAAAGTATATAGGTATATAAATGAAAGTCACAATTGCTTTAATTTCAATTGGAGTTTCAGTAGAAATAAAATTACACATTTGTCAAGACCTATAAAAATAAATCATGATAAACACATACTAAACTCTGTTGTAAAGTTCATAGATGTAAAATGTATTTGAGATACTGAATCAAAAATAATTTGTCACAAATAGACCATTTTCTGACCAACATTTTTTTGTTCTTGGAATAGGAGAGATATACATGAGGTACATCAAAACGAAGCCCGAAGCCCTAGACTATCTTACCATCGAGAGATTCGCATTGCACCAGGTTGAGGTAGTCATGTTGACGAAGAATGCCATTCCTAAAACCTCGCACTAGACCCTCAAGATACCCACAGTCAATGTTGAAAGCACTGTCAAGCATGATTATTATATTCTGGAAAATGAACATAACAATAATTTCAGGGTCAACCACTCAATGCTGTTTAAACAATTCTTCATGGTCAAGCCTAGAAACTTCTTCACTGAGCCTGGTGGAGTTAGCAACATAACCAAAATATTTATTTGTATGTTTCTACAAAGATGCCAAAAAGATTTTGTGCCATGTTTTTTTTTGGCAAAGAAAATTTACTCTACCATTATTTAGGATGGAGACACAAACTAGTAGGAGAAGAAGCTTCTACATAAATATCTTAGCAAGTCAAACAGGGTAATAAGGGACGGGGGAACAGAATAGTCCTACGTCATGGCATAAAAATGTTGAAACAGTGAAACTAATTGAAATGTTGAAAAATTCAAAATAGTGGCATAAACTTCAACATTTTTCTTATCTATGTAGCATAAAGGAAGTTAAGAAATCATAAATTTACTAGCTCTAAAAAATCCCTGAAAAACAAGTTTTAAAATGTTCTGGAGAAGTACTTCTGTTGAGATCTGTAGTAAAAAATATTTGCCATATTACAAAATTTTACACAAGAAAAATTAAAAAGTGTTGGCGTTAAAACTTTTCTGACAGAATTTGCGCACCTCAATCAATCTAAACAAAATGGCAGCCATTTATGCATGATGGGGTATTATGGGACACCCCCCCAGGGTAATTTGGGACACCCATAAAAATGCATTTAGAGCAGAACCTTGGTTAGCCAAGGCACCAATCAACAAAAAAATTATTAATGACAAAGAATTTTGATTAGTAAATTTACCTATCTAAGCAAAAAAAATTTCACTTAACAAAAAAGTAATGCATCACCAATCATCACAAAATTGTGTATAGAATGTCATAGATAGAATTGTGCACCTGGCAACATAGAATGAAAAGTGATTAACCTAAACTATGATTTACTTCTCCAAAAAAATATGATGGTTGTCACAAAAGAATTACTTTCTGTTTCAGGCATGTTTTTTTTGCTACTTTTTATTTTTATTATTATTTTTTTTGTTATAGTGAATTCATCCGCTTGTATCAGGTTGTCCACTATCACCACCTATACTTGCTGTAGCTGTTACCATGTCACCTGTGATGTCATTGTTCTACGCCTATAAAAGCTCCTCCAACATTCCCTTCATCAGTGGCAGAGCAGACGTTAAACAACATCTTTGTGCTGTATTAATAAGCCAGTCTCTAAAGAGATTGCATCTACCAAAGATGACTCTGGCAATCGTGTCTAACACAATAGTGTCGATATTACTACCTTATTAATTCATGTAATGATACCTCACCGTGTTTAACTCTAAATAAGTAAGTTGAGAAATAAACACTCTCTGTATTCATCATTCCTGTATTAGGAAAGACATTGAAGATCTTCAAGGGGAGGGGAGGGGGATCGCTGTCTGCATCCAAAATTAACAAATTTGGCTTTTCTGGTTTTTAGTCTTATCTCAAAGAGCTGAAATTCTGACCTATTCAACTGTATAAAACCATCTCTGTACATTGATTTATGCATTCATGACAGATCGCCATAGGGTTAGAGGTGGTGGAGTTCTTTCACATTTAAATAGGCAGAAATTTGCTGCCAAGCACATGAAAGGATGGTCTGAAGATGCTGCTCTTTAGTTACCTGGCTGCTGTTGTGTGGGATGGTGCTCATGCAGTCATTCCCACCATCCTTGACTGAATTTCAGCTCCATTAATGTCTAGTCTTGTATCCATGCCACTTTGAATGCCTATTTCAAGGC